GACATCTCGTCTCCATGTAAGACTGGTGGATTCCAGGCTCTGCATTTTGTTTCACTAATTTGATCTGTTTGTCTACTTTTGTAGCAATACCACACTTTTCTAATTGCTATAAATATTTAATAAGTCATGCTAGCTGGGAGGACAATACTCCTCTGTTTTGTTTTCTTTTTCACAAGTGCCTTGTGTCTTTTGGGTCCCGGGCTCTTCTAACTTTAGACGGTGTCAAGCTTTACAGACACATGCAAAAATATTCATTATTGGCTAATAATTAGAATTATTATATGGGATTTATAAATGAATGGTGAATTACTATAATTTAACTTTTTAGAATTTATGTCTTCTTTTAGGTTCCATTTCCCATCTTTCGTTTTTTGGGGTTTTTTTTTTTTTTTGGTACCGGGGATCGAACTCGGGTCCTTGCGCTTGCACAGCAGGCGGTGAGACCACTGAGCTAAATCCCCGGCCCCATTTCCCATCTTTTGACAGATTTATTCTTAAGTTCCTTAGGTTTTTGTGGGGGCTTTTAACCCCATAAAAGAACATGTCACTGTTACATTTTCTAATTGGTTATCCTGCACTCTAAGAGAGGTTGACTTCTATTACAGATCTTCATCGAGTGACTTTTTTATTAGTTCTAATAATGTCCCTGGATCTTATTGAGTTATCTATAGGAAAATCTGAGGCACTTTGACATAGAAGCAAATGTACCTTTTACATGCCCATCCCCAAGCTGTTACTTATTTCTCATTGTGTTAACTAGGACCATGGTACAAAGTTAAACACTAGGATTAGTGTGGCCACTATTGTCTAGTTCCTGAATTTAATTTTAACTCTTTAACCATTAGATGTGATGTTTCAGTAAAACCCCTTTGTGGATTAAGGTGGTTTCCAGTTTCAGGCTTTGAAATAGATGGGCAGGTGTGGTGTTAGGCCCCTGGAAACCCTGCTACTTACGGAGCTGAAGCAGGAGGAGCACACATTTGAGACCAGCTTGGGCAATAAGGTGAGACCTTGCCTCAAAAAGAAGTTTGAAAACTTGCCTGAGTCTTTAATCTCTGTGAGTTGGGTTCCTGTGGCAGACCCTGGCAGCACCCCGCTTCCAGCTGCCAGCTTGGGCACTCTTGGTGGAAGGGCTTCCGGTGACAGTGCCAGGACACTCGCAGCCCTTGGAAGCAGCACTGGCCTGTGCCTGAGGCTTTGCTACCTTGTCACCTCCCTTGGGTGTGGGCGGCTGTGGTCCCCAGAGCTGCCCACAGAGATCGAGCTCCAGTGGACCCCACAAAACCCTCCTGGTTGACAGCTTTTGTGGGCTTTTTTCCTTTTACTGTGTCACATCCTAATTTTTTCCCTACAGTTATTTCCTAGAATCACTTTCAAAATGAACTGCCTGCTCTCCAATCATTTCTTCAGTCTCTGTTTCTGGTGGAAGCCAGGTTTTAAGACATCTCATCATCGGATTTTCCAGATTTGTCAATTTCTCTTGCATTGCAGTTTGTCTTGGGCATTTTGCCTGCAATATGCCTTATTCTTGCACATGAACTTCTAGGGTTGACTGATTCTGCTCTACTACATGTTTTGTTTTTTATTTCTGTAGAAGGCTGATTTTTAAAATGTCAATAAATGGGACTGTTTCATTTTTCTAAAACTGAACTCAAGTAGCATAAGAAATTCCATTTCCACTCCGTTTCAGAAAACATTTAATCTTGGCACATTGAGGTAACTAGAGTTCATCTTGGTAAAAAGGTTTCTCACAACTGTTTAGTTCCAATGTCATCTCCTGTCTCAGTGGTTCTGCAAGCTGGAATCCTGACAGAAGGGAGGCTGGTGCGACACTGGAGGAGGGAGGGTTTGTGGTGTACAGTCCCAGTGTGCCTCTGCCCCTCAGGGCCTTGGACAGAGCCTCTCATCCCCTCAGGTGAGGCGAGGCTCCTCTGGATCTGCTTCCCACTGCTGTGTGCTCCTGCCCCTTCTCTTAGGCATCCTAACTGTGTGCGAAGCAGCTCTGCTCACTTCCTCATCTACAGCCAGTTTTTATGACTCTGCTTGCAAGTCTGGAACTCTGGGGCTAACGCACAATAGCACTTCTGCTTCAAGACCTCAGCTCTTGATACTGCAGGCATCTTTGCTGTAGACCACTAGACCACTAAGAGCGTAACATATGCATCCAGGCTAGTAGATGAATGACGCAAGGATAGCAATAATAATTCTAGGAGAGTAAAACACATCTGGGCCACTATCCACCCTCCTTCTTTATGTCTAACCACACACACACCTGAAGTTGTCAGCATCTGTCTGGACACCCTTGTCTGAAATGCTCCAGCAGGGTTCAGATGAGCATTTCCCTTCTGTCTGCTTATTTGCCCAACCTTGTTGAAATACCAGTGTTCTTTGAAAATATTTGCTTACCATTTTTCACTTTTTTTTTTGGTACCAGGGGATCGAACTCAGGACCTTATGCTTAGGAGGCAGGTGCAGTGCCACTGAGCTAAATCCCTGGTCCTGCTTACCATTTTTGAAGACACCCGTTTATTTTTGTTAATGCTGTATAGAAGAAGCGCTTAATATGGAATGGAAAATGTGGGACTGAATCTCAGCTCTGTCTTTTTAGCTGGATGAGTGGGAACAGTGTGTGGCTCTCCAAGCCTGTGGTTCTGTGTGTGGAGCAGCATCACCTCTCCTGGGAAATTGGCTAAAATGTAAACGACCAGGTCCATCCTGCACCTATTGAAACAGAAAGTTGGTGCTGAGGCTCAGCAGATCTGTTTTAACAGCCTGCCAGGTGACTCTGAAGCATACTCTGTTTCCTGGAGAATGGATAGAGATAATTTCCTACAGGTGAGACTTAGACAAGGAAATACATACAAAAGAAATCTGGAAATCAGGAAATAGTTTCAGGGGCTGAGCAGACATGAGATGATGGGAAGTGGTGGAGGAAACAACCATTCTTTCTAATGGCATTCAAATCATCATTATTTTTTAAAATCACCTATCCACCAAATAAAACCTGTCTAAAAGTTAAATTTTGCCTCCAAGAGCCAGCATTTTAAGACAGGCACAAACTACAAACTTCATGCAAATGTCCAACTGCTTTAATTTGACCTTAAAGCAAACAAACAGAAAGGCTTGGAGGTATAATATTCCTGCAAGTTGTTGGCTTCCAACAATTGCTATAATTAGGGCACCATCTAATTAGCTTCCCAAACTGGATGCCTCTGAGAATGAAAGAAAGTGTTATTAATGTTTGCACAAGGACAGAGGTGAACGCACTGTCCCAGGCACAGCCCCAGCTCGGCTCATGAAATCACCCACATCCCCATTTACCCCGGGTCAAGACCCAATGAAAATGAATGGCGTGCTTCTGGGTGGGGATGGAGAGCAAACGCTGGAGAGAGGAGAGGCAAGAGGAGTTGGAGAAAGGGGGAGCACTCTTTTCTCTCGAGATGAGAAGGAAGTAGGAAAAACGAAGACAGAAACATGGTGAGCTACAGAAGGAAATATCAGTCATAGGAAGTACTGGTTGGTATTTTCCTAGATAGGACAAAAGTCATAAGGCACAGCGAGTCGGGGACCAGAAAAGTGCCAAGAAGGAGACAGAAATATGCACACACCAAACAAAGAAGGGCAATGCTGAGGGCAGTCACGGAGACACCAGAGTGTTAAGGCACAGAGGGAAATCCCAGCAGAAGACAGACAGCCACGGGTGCTATAAAGGATCTACCAGGTCAAAACAATGTACAAGAAGAGAGGAAGTGTCTTGCTTCTCCCAGTGGACGGGGAGTTCCTCGTGAGGGGGATGGCTAATTTTCTTCCTGACTGGAAATTTCCTGCTGTGGGTCTTATAGTCAGATCTAAAATGTCACCCACAAGACGTAGTTGTTGAAGGCATGGATCCCATGCAGCAGTGTTTAGAGGTGGGGCTTTGGGAATGTGACTGCATGCATGCTCCCAGCTCCTCAGTGTATGAAACCAGTGGTGGATTCACAATCTAATGGCATTGCTGAGGGTGATGGTGACTTGCAGCCTAGTCAGGGGAACAGGTCATAGGGGTATGCTCTGGAGAGCCATGTCTCCACCCCTCGCCTTCCTCTTTGGCTCCCCACTCTCTGTTTCTGGTTGCTATGAGGTGAGTGACTTGGCTATACCATCCCATCCATCACCACATGCACTGCCTCACCACAGGCCCAGAAACCAGGGAGCAGCTGCCCATGGACTGGAACCTCCAACACCGTGAGCCAAAGTAAAACTTTCCTCCTTTAAGTTGTCACAGCAACAGAAAGCTGACTGACATAGTAGGTGAGTCTGTCTTCCATATTTTCACAAAATCCTTCAAACCCAAGTTAGAGAAGTCTTCCTTCCTTCTTTTCCATTTGCTCCCCCGAAGTTTAGGCTCTGCTTATGAGATGCCCAGAACATCTCTGGTGAGCTACCGTACTTCCCCAAATAAGACTGGATCATATGGTAATTTTTGCCCCAAAAGACACAATAGGGCTTATTTTCAGGGATGCCAATATTTCATGTACCACAACCTACATGTATCCAATACAGCCCTGCCATCTTCTTCTAGAACATCACCATGATCTCCAAACCCGAATTTCAGCCTGGATTTTCTTTCGACTCCATTTCCTGTAGAACCTCTGGCCCAATCTCTCATGTCCAACCATAGAGCTCTCCTTAAATGAGCACTTCTTGTCCATGTAGCCTGCTTATAATGCACTGGCAGCACAGCTGTCAGTGATTTTACCCCATGAATTCTTCACCCAAGTCGCGACCTCTTGCAGCTTAGGGTTCACAAAGTTTCTATTTAAATAGTGTTGACTGAAGACTTAAGAGACAGGAGAGGCAACAAAAATGATGCCAGTTAAGAATGAAGGTCCAGGGCCGGGGATTTAGCTCAGGGGTTCCGCTGCCTGCTGCGCAAGCACAAAGACCCGAGTTTGATCCCCGGTACCAAACAAAAAAAAAGAAAAAAGAATGATGGTCCACACAAAAGCGACAAAAAATTGCAGGCACCAAAATTCAGAAAATGTTTATTTCACACAAGTGCATTAAGTGTGTCTGTTATAATACACAGTGTATTGAATTATTAAGATTCATGTCAAACAATCTCATCTATTTATCAAGTGTGCATGTTATTCACACGTTGTGTCTGTACTCTGGTCATGCAGCAATAATTCTTGAGTTTACCTCTTGTGCCTGCTTGGCTATTTACAAATACTTAATTATAGTTTTATTATTATTTATTTAAGTGTTAATGATTATCATTTAAGTATCAAGGTGTTTGCTTTGGTTTGTTTGGGTTTTTTTGAGACAGAGTCTCACTATGTAGCCCTGCCTGGCCTCGAACTCGCTGTGATCCTCCTGCGTCAGCCTCTCCAGTGCCAGGATCACAGGTGTGCGCCACCACACCTGGTGGTTCAAGTATTTTAAGTATTATTTATATTTAATTACTAATGTGCCCATCTGGCTGCTGATCTCAGCTGGGACTTATTTTGGGGGTAGGGCTGCTATGATGAACATCCTGAAAATCACACCAAGGCCTGTTTTCTGGTTAGGTCTTGTTTTCGAGGAGTTACAGCCGCTGTGACCTTCTGGGAAGCATTAGCCTCTGCATTCCTTACCTGAAGCTGACAGGAAGTCACCTTCAAGTGGGCTTTGGTGCCCTGGTCCTTTGGGTCTGTCAATTGCCTCATGAACATTTCTTTACTTAGTCCAAAGCTCCGGAGCACTTGCCCTGTTTTATAAGCAGCACACACGTTCAAGCACACACTGGCCCTCCAAAGGTGGCAGGGTAGACAGGACTGCCCACCCGTTTCCCTCTACAGTGCCCCTGCATTTGAATCTTTACTCTTTTCCGTTGTTTGCTTACTTTCTTTTCCCTCCTTGTTTCCCTCCTCCCGCTCCTCCAACGTGAAGAATCTTTTCCCCCTGCTCCTGTTTCCTCTTCCTGCCCGGCAGAGCTCGCGTCCACGCAGCCTCCCTGGCTCTCTGCCGCGAAGCTGCCCAGCCCCTCAGTCTCGGCAGGGAGACTGGGAGGAGCTGCTGCCCACCTGGTTAGAAACCTGGGGGGCCCTCCTGCCCTTTCCCTCCCTCCCTGCAGATCAGCCGCGGGGCGATGCTCAGCAAGGCATTTGGTATAAGCCTAACACTTTCAAAGACTGAGTAGAGTGGGCTAGGAGGAGTTGGGGGCCACCCTCTCCTCCCTGTGTCCCTTTCCCTTGTCCCTAGACCTGAGTGGCGGTTGAGAGGCTCAGGATCCCCGTGGAATTTGATCCCCTGTGGCAGGTTTGGAGGAGGAGAGCATGTCCTGCTGTTGCGGCTCCGCTGGCCGGATGCGAATGTGCAGCGCGGGACGCGCTGCATCTGCGCGCTGAGCTGCAGCCGGACTCTCTCAAGACGCTCAGGGGCTCCCTCAGGTCCCGGCAGCGGACGCCGCCCAGACGGCTGCCCGGCGAGGGCCCCTTGACGGCGGAGTTGCAGCCGGCTGGCAGCCTCCTATCGTCGCTGGTTAGGGCCCCAAGAACCTGGTGGGAAGACCGTCTCAGTCGTCTCCCTCAGCCCAGCGCCGTCCAGCACAAACACATCGGCCTCACTCGTGTGTAACTCAGCAATAGGAAGTGAGGGCCAGGGATGTAGCTCAGCGGCACTACGTCGTCGGGCCGGCAAGCGCAAGGTCCTGAGTTAGAGTCCCTGTACCAAAACCCAAACCAAAACAGAAACAGAAATAAGAAGTGGGCTGCCGGTGTAAATCCTAAATATGAAGTACAGGGCCGGGGATGTAGCTCAGTGGTTCTGCCGCCTGCCTCGAAAGTGCAAGGTTCCTAGTTTGATCCCCGGTACCAAAAAAAAAAAAAAAAGAAAAGAAAAAAAGAAAGAAATACAAAGTAGACCACATGTATAAATCAGAAATATGAAATGGGTCATGTGTTTAATTTAAAATATAATGTGAGCCACAATAATGTGATTCAGAAATACACTGCAAGCCACATATGTAATTTAAATTTTTTTCTGGTAGCCACAATAAAAAGATAGAAAGGAAGTGGTGAAATAATTTTAGTAAACTATTTTATGTAACTCAATATATCCAAAGGTCATCAATTTCACCCTGTACCCACTATTTTTAAAATATTGCTGGGAGTAGTGGCACACGCTTGCAATCCCAGCACTCAGGAGACTGAACTACGGGCTATCTCAGTAAGTGTTTTTAAATATTAGTGATATATTCTGTTATGAGTTTGTTTGTTTTTTGTTTTTGAGACAGGGTCTCACTACGTATCCCAGGCTGGCCCCAAACTTTCAATGATCTTCCTGCCTCAGCCTCCCGAGTGCTGGGATTACAGGCATGCACCACCATGACCTGCTAGTTCTTAATTTATGAGTTAGAGAAAACTCACTTTAAGACGTGGTTCCTCGTTGCTCCAGCCATGTTTGAGGTGTCGGTACCATGTTTGGTGCCACCACATTGGACAGTACAGGTGTGGTGGTGCACAAAGCAAGCTGAGCTGGTCTCCCCTGCACGCATCCCAGCCCCACCAGGTCAAGAGTCTTTCTTTTAAGAAACACCCTGTAAAGCCTCTCCAGCCTTCCATACATTCTGCTTGCAAGGCTCCCCAGGTTCAGTGAAATGAATGTCATCTTCCGAATCTTATTTTCCTCTCCTCCTCTTTGCTTGGATTCTCTGCCGGTCTAATCCATTCACTGTCCACCTGGTGTCGGGCGCTTCTGGAGCTCCCCTCCAGGGTGGGTGGGAGGCGAGGTGGGGAAGTGGAGACCCCCAGCCAGGGGTCTGTGATGCAGCCAAGCCCTGAGGCTGTGCCATCTCTTTCTCTTCTAGGACATTAGGTTATACTGTGCAGTTATGACAGGCTGTCCCACACTATGCCTACCTATTCGTTTGTGGCTGCAGCACACTTCGCATTCCCCCAAATGCTCTGCACATTCTGACTCCGCAATCCACTAACCAGGCTGTGGGTGCAGAAGGCCTGAGCCAAAAACCTTAGCATGTGGGCCACTTGGTGAAGAAAACAGCTGTTTCTCTAGCTTCCTGGTTCTTCAGCAGTCTTCAATTTCCTGGCGCCTCCTGTGTGTCCCCTTGCTTCACTGGGTGGTTCCAAGTTCCCTACTCCATCTCCCTTCTCCCCTGCTGTTAGGGTAAACTGAGGCATGCCCGAGACCACCAGAGCAGGCAAAAATGAAGCAACAAGCTAGGTTTTATTTCCAGCTTGGGTGCAGGCTAGTCAAGGGTGACAAAGCCATTGACCCTGGGGGCTTGGGTGAGGGGAAACTTTATAGGGGACTTTGGGTAGGGGAGGGGTGCTGCCAGGAGGAGTGGAAATTTTTGTCCTGGAGTGGAGGAAGTCTTTTGATCTAGGGTGGAGGGCGTCTGGTGGTCTCCAGGGGTATCTAGGCCCGCAGATGTTGCTGCATGGGTCAAGCTGCTTTTCTCGAACCCAACTTAGCTTCCTGTTATCCTTTGCATCTTGCAGGATGTGTAACTGCATTGTCTGGCAAGTTTTCTCTTCCACCTGGGGGGGGGGGTCTGACACCTGCTCTCTCTTTCCTCCATCTCTCCAGCTGTTCTAACTTTCACTTCCATGTCTCCTCTTCCCTGGCCCCATTTCCCTAGCTCTGGCCTCTCATTCCCAGTTCACCCACACACGCGCCCCCCTTTCCATGTCACTGTCCACATCCATGTCCTCCCTTCCCCTCAGCCCCAGCTCAGCTGTGTCTTTGTAAGAGTCAAGGGTTTCAATTCCTTGACTCAGAGTTGATTCCTCCAGATCTGGAGAAGAAACTCAAGGAAAGGAAATCAAGGCATGATGCCATCACAGAGAGCCTGAAGAAATGCAGAGGTAAGGAAGCAGCCGGGCTGTCGCCTTCTCTATTCATGTACCTCTAGCGGCTTCTCTCCCTGTCACCCCAAGAAACTGAAGTGAAACTCATCTGTGCCAGTAATAACCGCCGGGCCCTTCTGATGCCAGGCCCTGGTGAGCACTGTCCAAGCATCACTATGTCCCTTTTCAGGCATTTCTTCCTTTTGTCTTCATTGTGTGTTACTTTTTTGCCTCCTTGACTCAAAAAAAAAAAACTAAAAAAAAATCCACAGCAGGGATCCTGGACTTGTGCTTCTAGTGCTGTTGGGGCCCAGGGAGGGGCTGTCAGACAGTGCTGTTGGAGGAAGCAGGCTCCACCTCCCTGGGCCTGGCGGTGTGTTGCAGGGCAAGGGGCTCTTCCTTCACTGAAAGTCAATGACATTTGGGGGAAACCTCTTGAGGAAACAGAAATCAGCAAGAGCACAAATGAATGACCGGTACTTTCTATGTCCAGCAGATATTTTTCAAAAACTTGTCTAGGTTTACAGCTAGGAAGCAGGGTTGGCATCTGTAAGGGCTCCCTTCACAGCAGCGCTGGGCACGAAGACAGCTCACAGAGTCTTCCAGAACTATCTGGAAATGTCATGGAGTCCCATACCCCTCATGTACAAGCACCTCCCATGCCTGTGGGAGGAGGACCTGGCAACGCCCCAGACCTCGCCCCTTCGTCCAGGGGTCTTCACACTGCAGACGCAAACCTGGAAGTGTTTTCGTTTTGCTTTTAACTTTGCTGATTGAGCTCTTTGTTTCCAGCAGTAACTGCTCTGCTTTGTCCAGGTCTCTCATCCCATTGAGAATAACCTCAGCCAACCCGGAACTCTGCAGTCACTGCAGGGCTGAAAGAGTCTAGCTGCTGTTTAGAATTTCAAGGAAGAGAGATCCTTGTCCCTCTACTCCAGAACAGGGCAGGTTTAGGAGTGGGGAGATAGCATGGTCTGTTCTGTCTCCTCTCTCTCTCACACACACACACTCACACACGCAGGCATAATCCCCAATTCCCACCTGGCCCTGTTAAAGCCCAAGGAATGAGAACAGAGGGCTGGCAGGGCGTCCTTTAGGCTGCAGGTCCTGTCATCCCCACAGTTCTCTCTCCTGAGGGTGGTTGCTCCATCAGCAGATGACTAAAGGGCCTAGTAGGTGAAGAGCCCAGCCAATGCCTCCTCTGGCTTTAAGTTTCAGAGCCCTCGTATGAGGGTTGCTGATCCCCCATGTGTGTACCCCAGGCTGGGCTACTGGCTCTCAGGAAGCTGCCTGTGATCCTGCCTCTACTGACCACTGGGCCATTGCATGCCCTCCAGGAGCCGAAGGCTCTGCTGGGAGGCACAGGGGCCTGGAGGAAACCCCCCATCTGGGGCTGCAAACTACAGCTTTCCACCCAGACCAGTGCCCTGATGGGAAATCCAGGCCACTCTCCCCAGCTTTGGAAGGAGAGAAGGGGCACTGAGCTTCTGCCCCATGGCGCTTGTCCTGCCCCTAAGTCCTCTTCCACAGGAAGAAGGGTGGGATTGTGAGCCACACACAGGAGCGAGCAGTCTCAGGATTTCTTCCTTGCTTGTTAGGTGAACAAGGGGCTAGATGTGTGCTGCCCAAGCCACACGTGCCCCTGGGCCCTGCAATGTAGCTCATCCGAACTCAGACTCGCTGTAAGTGAAAAATACACGTCAGTTCCGCAGGACTGGGTAAGAAAAGAGACAGGAATATGGATATACCTCTCCCTGAGGAAGAGGATCACACAGTTTGAGCCCAGCCTGGGCAACTTAGTGAGACCCTGTCTCAAAGGATGGAGGGAGGGATGCAGCTCAGTGTGAAGGCCTTAGTTTCAATCCTCAGTACCACAAAAAAAGGATGTAAAATATAGCAATATCTTCTTTAATATAGGGTCTGTCTATGTTGTCCAGGCTGGTCTCAAGCTGGGGCTCAAATGATCCTTCCACCTCAACCTGAGTAGTGGGACTACAGGGCCCTGCCACCATGCTCGATAACAGTAATTTTTTAATTCTACATGTTGAAATGACAATATTTTAAAAAATATTGACTGTAACAAAATATATAATGCAAATTAATTTTACCTTTTTTTTTTGCTTTTTGAATGTGACTACTAGAAAATTTAAAACTGTTCACATTTGTGTCTACTGTTGTGTTTCTACCAGACAGTGCTGGACTAGAACCACTATAGGGAAGTGGAAAGGCCTCTCGATGTGTTTGTTCCTCCTTGGCATAGCAGGCGTATGAGGAACAAGTCCAGCTCCCCTCTCCCAGGCATTTCAAATCAGCGCCGTGCTGCGCAGTCCTGGTTTCCTTGCTTAACCCCTCTAGGCTCTCTATTTCCTCCCATGCTCTACTTCCAGACAACCTCCAGGCTGACAGGAAGAAAGACTGAATCAGGCTCCTCAATGGCATGGATGGAAATGCTGCGAAGAGCTCTAAGTGGGGACTGATGGCTGCTTGCTGCCATTAGGGGAAAGTAAGAAACACAAAGCTGGAGAATCCTCTCTTTACAGGAACGCAGACCCTATGTGGGTAAATGGCCACTGAGCCAACTGAGGATGGGCTCATGTGGATTTATTTTATTATTTGAAACTCAGGTAATTCCTGAAATTTAAAAGTATTCTAAAGTAGTAGAAATAGATAAATTTATTTTTTCATTGCTCAGAGATAGAGGGAAAATTGAGACAAGGAGAAGGAGCCGGTCAGTCTCTGAGGTTGGTATAAGCTGACCTACCGGGTACCAGGTGCAGCTAGCTCTCTGGCCAACCCCTCCCTGCGGGGTCAGGACAGCCGAAAGGTGGAGTCCCAGGGTCATGTGGAAGTCATCAAAGATGGCTCTGGCAGCACAGGACTCTGGCTCACTATGTGGGCATCTGGTGTGGATCTGACACAGTATTTCAAAACATGAAGGGCAGGGGATTTAGCTCAGTGGCACCGCACCTACCTTACCTAAGGTTCAATACCTGGTACCAAAAAATAAAACAAAACTAAAAACCCCACCAGAACAAGTTCCAAGGTCAACGTTACTATCAGCAATTTACCGTGAGGCCCTGGAACCTCAGGAAGGAGAGGTATGTGTCCCCGGCCACGTGACTTAAGTGAAAGACAGAATCAGAACTTGTTTCTCCAAAGCCACAGCGCAGGATTTAGGGCTCCGTTCCATCCGCGTTTCCCCACAAGGGGCCTACTGCTGCCTGGAGAGGATGCCTTTGCTGTGCCCTGAGACTCAGTCTGCCCGCTGAGAGTCCTGCAGCAGCACAGTCCCAGCACTCTGGGCCAGGAGGGGCCCCTTCCCCTGGGGGGGGGGGCTTCTGTTGCCAAGAGAAACCAATCCCTTTCTCTTCCCCACGGATGACCCAGAACCACTGACGGTCGTTAGGGACGAGGACAACGTGTTTGCTTTTAATGCGCAGCCTGTGGTTATCAAGGCCAAGACTTGTTTTCTCTGCCAGTTAGAGAAGGCTTATCCGGAGTCACCCTCCCCAGCAGGGCCCGCGTGGACACTGGCTCCCCTGTCGGGCGGGGAGAGGCGGACCACATGGAGGACCAGGCGAGAAGGCACCGAACCGGCCCTTGGGGGAAGCCTGGGGAGCGGGCTGCAGAATGGACTCCCTGACCTGGGGCCCCGCTCCCTGGCCTAAGTTAGGTGGAATGAACAACTGTTCTCACTTCCCACCTGAGATGAAGGAGCATGGAAAGAGCGGGGGGGGGGGGGTGGCATTCGGACACTGGAGCAGGACCGGGGTGGGGTAGGGAGTGGACGCCAGTTCGTGGAGACTTCGCTGCTCGGGCAGATGTGGGGTGTCAGGCCGTGTCTCACCCGTGTCCTCTGCTCCCCAGCGACCCCCTCGCCAGGAAACCCCGGCCCTCACACGCTTACCACTGCCACAGGTTAGTCTCGGGCGCTGGAGGAGCCCTGGTGCCCGGTGCCCCTCGCCGTCTCCTCTGTGCTGCCCTCTCCCTCAAAGGCTCCGGAACAACCAAGCGAGGGTCACCAAACCGCTAGCCCTCGATTCCGCTCGCGCCTGTCCCGGCGTCCTTGGCTGAGAAAGCGTCCGGCGCCGCGCTTCCCGCAGGCGGAGCCTGCTCGGACCGGGAGCTGGGGGCCCACCAGGAGCTGCAGGTGGCGCCCAGTGGTGGCTGAGGGCGAGCGGACCGTGCGCCTGGAGACGGGCGTGGGGTGGAGACCACGGGATGGCGGGCACGTTCCTGGGCCAAACCCGGGGACCGGGCTCCTCCCGCCGCCTTGGCCGAGGCGCCCCTGGTGGACGAAGGCGCTCACCACACCTGTCTCCCCGCGGTTTCCGACTCGGGCCCACCGCACCCCGCTTCTGAACAAGCACTGAGGTGAGTCAGGCCCGCCTGCCACGATCCTAGGCGCTCCACGAGCCTGACACTCAGCATCTCACATCCCCACCTCCTCCATTTCTCCCAGTCCTCTATCCACGAAGGGAACAGTAACATCAAAGCAACGATGGAAATCCGATACAAATCCGAAGGTGGAATGCGGTCCCCATGCCTAAAGCTGCAAGAGAGACCGGAGCCACAGCTGCTCGGCCGAGTGAAAGGGGGACGGCTCGTCCGGCCTTCGTACCCTGACCCTCCGTCGGGATCCTACGGGCGTGCGGGAGCGGGGCCTGCAGGAGCCGCGCAGCCTTCCCTCCGCACCCCAACTCCCTTCCCCTCTCAAGTTTGAGGCTCACTTTGGAAACTTACCTGAGCTCGGAAAGTCTGAGCCTCGACCGACCTCGCATTATCCCGACGCCGGCTTCCGTTAGGTGTGGGGGTCAGGGCCACGGGACACGGGGAAGAAAAGCTGATCTACCTTTGGGGGCTGCAGCGACCCCACCTCCACCGTGGGGCGGCCCCTCTGCGCCCAAGAACAGCACACAGCGACGCCAGGGCCCTGGTGCAGCGCCTGGACCGCGGGGAGCTGGACCCGCCCGGCCTGGGGCGCAGCAGGGAGCTCAGAAGCAGGCCGCCGACTCAGGCCGTGCCTCTCCTTCCTCCCACGGCCCCAGGGACCCTGCACGCGGCCACGGCTCACCCAGACCTCATCCTTTAGAGGCTGTAAAGACGCTGACGCCGGCCTTCGACCCGCGGGATACTGGGGATGCGGACAAGCCCGCCGACGCCGAAAGCTCCCAGCCCTCAGCTGCGCATCACGCTCGCCGGTGGCTCCTCGGGCCTCAGCCGCGCCTGGGGCGGAACTCGTGGGCCAGGGGCGGGGCTCGCGGGTCCGGGGGTGGGGCTCGGGGCGGGGATCGAGGGCCGGGGCGGGGCCTGCGCGCTGGGCGTGGCTCATGCTGGGCCGCGGTGGAGCTGGGCGCTTCTCCCACTGAGGTCTAGCTCTGGGTGCTGCGCGTCGCCGGCTCCGAGTGCCCGGTCGCAGGGGGCCCTCCGGGTCAGGCCGAACAGGTAGCCCCTGTGTGGACCAGGACGGTGGAGAGAGGGTCCACGACGCCTCCACGCGCGCGCATGTCCAGTCCTTCCGCGCCTGCCTCTGGCCGAGTCGCTTCTCTCCGGTGCGGGCTGCCGGGCCCAGTGTCCATTCTCCTCTCGGTTTCAGCCTGCTGAGCCAGAAGGAAAACAGGACACACAGGAGGCTGAGCCTAAGGCGTTCAGACCGCCTTGCAGAAGGGCCCCTGGGTTGACAGGGCGCCCTGTCCCCGCCCCACCCAGGACCTGAAGGCGACCCGGACCGCTGGGCCTCCCCTCTCCGGATCCGATCGGAATCCGTGCCGCGGGGCTTCCTCTCCAGGCGGCTCAGCTGACCCATCCCCGCACGGGTTGCAGAGAAGGACTATCTGTATTTATTCCAGGATGACTTCCAAGGACTGTGGCTCAGGGAGAAAAGGTGGGAGCCACATACACAGTGTGCTGCATTTCACGTAAGGAAAAGAGGAAAATAAATCTGCATGTTTGTTTCCTTATTTTTTTTAGGTAGGAGGATAAACTAAAACCTAATAAAAAGTTATATGGAGGGGCTGGCATGTTAGCTTAGTGGCACCGTGCCTGCCTTCCAAATACAAGGTCCTGAGTTCAATCCCTGGTACCAAACCAAAAAAATAGTTATATGGGGAGGTAAAGCTAGATGGAAGGAATGGGAATTAATCTGTCCTAAATATTCTCAAATTTTGTACATTTGATTTGACACCATTAAATATTTTACATCATTATAAAACAATTAAACAAGACAAAAATGAGCCCACTTATGTAACTGGCAGCTTATACATCAGAGGAGTTATTTTAAAATGCAATAATCTGACTATATCTTTAGCAGGATATATGCCAAGGACAAAAAAAATTGCAAATAAATCTTAGCTTTTCAGTTATATTGGTAACAATAACATTAATATTGTTATCCTGATGCTGTTAGAATAACAGGCTGTGTGTATACATACATGGTAGGCCTGCCTCCCAAGTGCAAGGTCCTGAGTTTGATCCCCAGTACTGCAAAAACAAAACAAAAAGCCCCCACACATGTGGTAGGACAAGACAAGTAATCATGTTAGTGTTACTAGGAACCAAGATTTTCAACCTAAAAGACTAGATTTTTCTCTTATGTGACTTAAGAGAAATACACACATAGTAATTCTCAAATTGAGTTGGAAAATCAATATAAACGTTTGCTATATTTTCTCTTAAAATAATAAAATTTATTTCTTAGCTTTGCCCACAGACAAAGCCCAAGATCAGCAGCTCACAGATCTCGTCAGAATCACTTCAGCACATGGGGGTGCATCTGAAGTCCGTTTGGGAAAATCACTGGACCTCAGATAGATTTGGGTGGGGAGGAACATGAACCAAAGGCAGTGGTCAATTGTTCAGATTCTGGTTTGAGCAAATTAATCATAAATTTTTTAAAGTATGAGGCAAAACACAAACTGTACATTTATGTTGAAGAATCACTCATCTTCTATGGGAGGAGGGGGAAGAAGAGGGTCTTCCAGAGCAGAGTAGAGTTAATATTTGGTAGAAGTCTGACAGAGGGGCTGAAAAGACTTTGATTATCACCAAAGCCTGGTTTTAATATGGAGCAGAAAGAGATGCAGTCAATCCTCTTCAAAGACAAATCTGTCCTCAATTTCTGTTACTCATCCCCAGAAACCAGAGTTCATCCCAGGACCATAGCATCCTCCCCAAACCCTCACAGGGGCAACAAAAGTCTCGATCATCTGTAGTATTGCTGTTTGAGGGCTCCAAGATCAACTCAAACAGCGAGCCCTGTCTCCTGGCACTCCTGAGAAACACAAGGGGTAAAGGGCTTGGAAACAGCCCACCGGGCGCCAAAGTGACAGGGTGCGTGACCCACGGTTGGCACAAAGTTCGAGGTCACTGGGGCCCTTGGTCCCTCCCCAGCCTGCTGGGCGGAGCAGCAGGGCCGGCTCAGCTGCATCCCAGGCGGGCGGGGAGTCATGGTCAGTGCTGGCCCGGCTCCCCGGTCCAGTTACCCTGGTCGTCAGGGTGACCCCACCGATTACATAAGCAGCCTAGGCTTGAGGACCAGGGCTGAGCTCGCTGCCCTGCCCATGTAGGGAGCCCGGATCCCCTGCACGGTCCTGGGCCTGAGCTAAGCCTTTACTCAGTGGTTTCCCAATGGTACTCTACCCACTCCTCACAAGCTTGGGAAGAACAGTATCATCACATTCTCATGTTCCAGAGGTGGCACAGATGTTCAGACTCATCATTTAACCCAAAGCATATGCAAAAGTCATCTTGAAAAGATAAAATCCCGTAAAAATAAACGACAGGATGGTTTTAGCAAAAATAACATCGCCAGGGTATCACTCCAGGGCGGCCCCCCCCCC